AATAGGACGTTAAACAAAATCAAACAAACAAACAAACAAAGCTGTCTTACATTCCAGCCGCGCACAAAGCACTGTAACACCAAAGTCGCATTCCTCGTCTTCTGGTACTGTTTCTGGGCCTGTAACAAACCACATTAGAGTTTCACAAGCAATCTACACATACATTTATTACATGTTCTTTTAATTAGTAAACAGATAACTGTACCAAAAGTATGGCATCTCATAGTACAGATCAGGCAGTATGACATGTTATCTACTGAAAAAAATGGGTTTCTCCCCTCCCTACTATCTTACTCATTTCAATAACAGTAGGGCTGTTCAACCCCACTATTATCTATTTCAGGCAAAAAGTGATTTGCAGTTATGACTTACCCAGAATCCCCTGAAGCGTGCAGAGATGATGATCTGACTAGTTCGCATCAGCTGGTACAGTTTCTGCTGCTTCCAGCCTTTGTATGTCTTCTGTATCATCACAGCTAGGTAGTGCATACGGTCCCGCCTCCTCTCCTCCATGTCAAATAACTAAAAACAAACACCTCATTATAACAATGTCCCATCTCCAGTGTTACCTCCATGTAAAATAACTACGAATAATCAAATACCTGCTGATTATTATCAGTCTCAGGGTGGTACGCTGAAATTCTGAATTTAAACACCTCAAGTAAGATTTGTTAGAGCAGTGACTAGTAGCTCAGACAAAAAGGTTTTTTATCATCAATAGGTAATATATGCTTAAAGAGAAATCTATAATATAACCATTTCACTAGATATGTCAGCTGCAGTCTTACCATGCGTGGGTTCCTGATAAAGATCTTGGATTTTCCAAAGGCATACTCCTCTGCATCAATTTCCTGGGCAAAACAGATAATTCTCACACCCTCCTTGGGGTCACCTGTCCAATGAGGCCATGTCTCATTGGCTAACATCTTGTAGCGGAACAGGAATTGTGAATAGGTCTGTCTGTAGGCATAGCCAGCCCTTCTCACTCGTACATTCTCCATCAATCTGTTAGACAGAAATTAAATTATTGTTGTGACCTCAAGTACAAGATAGTCCAACAAGACAGACTCTTAAACTCCAGAAAAACTCAAAAAGTAACAAAGGGCGATAACTCTTTACACAGCGGGGCATGAACCTGAATTCAGTATATGCATAAAATGTCATCTGCAATTGCAGACCTCCCCCATCCCAAGAAGTCCTCACAAATAAAGTTTTGCAATTGCAGATAACATTTTTAGTAATATTTCGTCATCCCAAGAGGGAATTACATACAAAATTTGTGAATTGTAAGGTGACACAGGAAAGTATGAGATATTCTCCAGGCAAAGTGACAAACTAAAGTACAGAGTTCAAACCAAGTAGTAGTGATAGGGGACTAACAACACGCACATGGACCATGTACTACTCGTCTGTTGTGTTATGTTGTTGGCAGAATCTAATATGACTGCTAACATCCCATAATCAAACAAAGGCTGTGATGAAGTCAGATTTCTGGCCAAAATAACGTTCCAATACATTCAACCTTAGTCCGAATTAATGTCGAAAGACCGATATAAACAAAAGTCGATAAAACGTCAGAATAATTTCGACTAATTCAACTTGTGACTGCAAATATTTGTACAGATATATGCAGAACTCAACACCATGGGAAACCTGATTGGTACTTCATGCCAGGTGAGTTGAAAATGCATGATTCCAAAATGTTGCTTGCCTGACAAGTTTTAATGATCTGTCCACCACAGCCATAACCACTTACCCAAGGTATCGGACCTGGTGCCGCACAATGTCCAATGTGAACACACCAGGTTTTTTCTGGTCATTTGGCTGAAAATGAAAAAGGATTACAATTTTGTTAAAAAAAACTGAGATAATATATAGTGCCTAACATAATACACGACTGATTCTGTAGATTTAAAGGATTCTTCTTTTGTTATCAGGAATAACGAGAGATCAATACTTCTTAATTGCGATCCTTCCTGCTCAACCCTTTTATAAACAATGACATCACAACTGTGTGTATACTATGGTTCATTGGCAAAACTTTCTATGTCAGCATTTTTCACTGATAATTCTTTTATATCTATTAAAAGATTGCAACCAAATTCTTAATCTGGACCTGACTCCAACTTACCTTCATACATCGGACATAATTTGGATTCTTGGATAGAAGGTTTTTCATAAGTTCTGTCACAGACACCTGCAGTCAATGAAGTAATAAAGTAAGGTATTAAAATTCTTTGTATGTGAGAGAGAACCTATGAAGGGTGAGATGAACAGAAATTAAGGCTCACTGACTACCTTTTTTTTTTTTCGAAATCAAATTGTAATACACATAGTATTTACTGATCTAACAATCTGTTGGCTTACAAATATTTTTCGAAAAATATATCACATTACAATATTTATGTCAAACACTTGCTCCCAACTAAATCTTATTTTTGCGAAAGTCACCTTGAACTGTGATCCAGTTGTAGCTGGTCTTTTGAGAGACTTCAGGGCTGGGTCCCCTGTAACAAAGCAATAACATTGT